GTTATTCATTCTCGCTTTTCCCCAGTGCTAGAACCTACCCCCGTGCAGGGTTGGGACGAGATCCTTGGGTGGACCACCTCCTAAGACGGCCGACGAGCATACATTTTTCATCGGGGCTTGTTTGAGGAATCGTATAGGACAGGAGTAGTGAGGAGAAAGAAAACAATGAGGATAAAGGGGAACAGTGAGGAGGAAAGACAAACGCAGAGGGGACAATCATTATCTATTTGTTGCGGCTTGGTGCGATGCGAAGGATATCGCTCCATCGAATTCACCCCCCCACGGGTTATTTCCCAATCAGAGCTTGCTTCTGCAGGGGTCCTAGCGGATTCGTATTGGTAGTTGAGCTTTGCCGCCGATTGCCGCGGCCCGCCCTGGTGCCCGGGTGCCCAGGTGCCTTGGTGCCCGGGTGCCCGGGTGCGCGAGTGCCCCGGTGCCTTGTGGCCCTCTAGGCGTATCGCCCTATAGCCCTATAGCCCTATAGCCCTATCGCCCTATAGCGGTATAGCCCGTTAGCCCCATAGCCCAATAGCCCTACAGCCCTGTAGCCCAATAGCGTCATAGCCCTATAGCCCTACAGCCCTGTAGCCCAATAGCGTCATAGCCCTATAGCCCTATAGCCCTATAGGCTTATAGCTCTATGGCCCTATCGCCCTAGAGCTCTATAGCTCTATAGCCCTATGGCCCATAGCCCTATGGCCCGTCAGCCCTATAGCCCGTAGCCCTATAGGGATATAGCCCCATAGTCCTATATCCCTATAGCCCAATAGCCCAATCGCCTTATAGCCCTGTAGCCCAATATCCCTATAGCCCTATAGCCCCCAGCTCTGTAGTCCTATAGCCCCATAGCTCTATACGCCTATAGCCTTAAAGCTCTATAACCCTATAGCCCTGTAGCGCTATAACCCCATAGCCCTAGAGCCCTATAGCCTTATAGCCCTATAGCCCCATAGCCCTATATACTCGTAGCCCTATGGCCCCATAGCCCTATAGTCCCATAGCCTCTAGCCAAGTAGCGCCATGGCCCTATAGCCCTACAACCCTCTAGTCGTATGGCCCTATAGTCCTATAGACCTATCGCCCTATAGACCTATAGCCCTATGGCCGTACATTCCTATAGCCTTATAGCGATGTAGCCCCATAGCCCCATCGCCCTATAGCCCAAAAGCCCCATAGCCCTACATCCCTAGACAGACTTTGATTGGGTGTTTCTCCGGTATCATTTATTTTAGCTTCGGTGCTAAAGAGAACCCTGGAGTTTCTTAATGGGTTCATGGTATTATTCCCACCCGATCCTAGTTACGTAGGTTAGGGTCCGACGAATGTTCAAAACCAGACTCATCCCCACCAACCAGGATTTCCTGAACGTCTTGAAGCCTATCCAGCTCGTCAAAGGCCGCCTCTGCAGGTACATCAGGTGGTTCCCCCACTGAAGTCCAGGTGGTAGGGGGCACCACCCCTCAGCAACAGGCAGTGTCACACTTCGTGGTCTACTTGAGCCCTTCTCATCAGAGCATCCGATATGGTGGTGAAATCTGCTTTGGGCCTGCATCCCCAGCTTCGATGTGCATCCGATTCTTCCATCTCCTTGCGCCTTGGGCGTAGAAGAGATCCGATCCCGTTGCCTCCTAGCGAAGCAATGCGCGCACTGGTCTAAGAAGATCCTCTTATAACTGCCCTCGTCGGACCTGCCAAGTGATGTTCCTGATTCTTTTTGAGGGTCTTGACGTGCAGCCTAGCATCTCGTAGATCCTCACCTTGCTCCAGTCCCTTGCCGTTCCAGTGCTCGCAGGCTTTGGCCCATCGTTGTCTGTCCCGGGGCTTCGACAGCGACTCCTTCTTGGTAGCCATAATCTGCGGTCCATTCCCAATCATCGAGTCAGGAGCTTGGTGCCTGTCTCTCTTGTCACCGTGCCAGTCCCACGGGCCAGCACGACCCCACCCCATGTCGAGTAGCGCGGCGACCGTCGCAGACACCACCCCTGTAATACCTCTTCATTTGTCTTTCCTGGCTCTGGCCGCAACTCGTATCCTGGCTGCCCCTCCAAGTGCGCCCACTCAAGTCTTTGTCGAAGCCCTGCACACAAATATGTTTTTAAATTATCCCTCAACAGCCTGGTCCAGAGGGTCTTGCGCCCGATTCGAAGCTGGAGAAGAGTGGTCATCCAAGTATCTCATAAAGAGTGCAGCTGGAGAAATACACCGATCCTCCCAGACCCGCAATCATGCTCTTCTGTATGACTTCTTCCTGAGGATACGAGGCGCCATATGCAAAATCATCTCCATGCCCAGAATGAGCGGGGGAAGCTGGTGCCTGATGCCTTTCGCGATGAGCAGCTCCCATTGCAGTGCATCGTGGAACCCCTCAATGTTCCACAAGACGCTGGCCCGCATCCAGCCGTTGATGGAGGACAGGATGACCGTCTCATCCGTGTAGCTTCTCCACATCGCCTCCCCTAAAGGAGAAGATCCTCCCACCCGCTGCATCCCAGAATCCAGCACGCTCCTCGGTCCATCTTGTTCTGCACGAACTTTGACAGCTGGACCACAGCCTCCCCAGATCAGACAGCACACCAATGGCCCGATCGTCACCTGAAGGCTTGCCGGCCAGGGTCACCAGCACCACCAAGAATTGCCATGGCCATGCTGCTCACCAGTGCTTCTTACCCGGGGGGCTGCCATGCCAACTCCTTCTTGCCAAGCTGCTCCACTCCTTCGGCTGTGGAGCCCTGCATCTTCCCGATACCTTCCGTGAGCAGCTCCTCATCGAAGGGAGCGAAGTCAGAACCAGAGGCAGATTAGAGGAGGGAGTAGTAGCTGGAGGGGGAGGAGGAGCAGGAGAAGCAGGAGGTTCTTGTATATTGGCTTCCTGCCGCGCCTGAATACGACCGGATTCGTGGAGTGGGAATACCGCCCGTGTAATTGCGTCGCCGACCACGCGGCAAACGTAGCGTTGTGCATGGGCTCAAATGGGGTCTACAGGATATGTTTGCAGCAGCGCGGGTGAGACACAACGACGCTAATATACGTCTCAGTTTTGACGGTGCGCTTCCAGGCGGAAGCGGCGGGCTCGTTGCGTGAGGAGTTGCCGCATTTTTTCCGTGCGCGTTAGCTTCTCGGTGCCCTGCAGTCTTCATTTTTGGCTGAGGCGCTGAGTCTGGAGTGGGCACTGGATGTATTGATTTCCA